ACGACTAGAGTACTAAACGTTGGCAAACCAGAAAACATTCAATTCCGTATGTCAGTCTTCCCTAATCAACACTTTCGTCTTCCTCTTCTCAAAATTTCTTCAAAATGGTGAGCGTCAATGATCCTCGAATTATTGCAGGTGACCGCGTCCACACTCGTGCAAGACTGCTCACAGCTCAGAGTAAATGTCGTCGCATGTATTGAGCCTCCTGGAAGATCAAGTTGGTCATGGGAACTGTCATTAGCATGAAAACTGACAAAGTGAAGGGTCGTAGTGTCACTTCAGTCAGGGCTAAATGGGAATTATCAGATGGCGTCAAGGAAGTCACGCTTTGCATAGCTAACATCAAGGCTGGTGAATTGATGGACCTGATCGATGACGGTCCTGAAGATCATATCCATCAAGAAACTGAACATTATGCGCAACCGGAGCCTACAGAGGACCGCGTGACGCCACTGGAAGCAGCACTCAGCCTGCGTACGAGAATCTCCGAGAGTGACGAAATGGATTCCCAAGATGGCCTCATGAATGTCCACGGCCGGGCCTGGAAGCGTGAGGAAGTCACGATGCATTTAAATGGTATGATACCGCCGAGAAGATGGAAGGTGATTGGACCGATTGATGAGATTATATCCCGTGGTCACAGTCCATCTCAAATGCATCCCATGGACTAATTCATGTGGATGTTCCCACAGGAGCACTTGGCATTAATGGTTTCCTACACCAACGATGCAATGGAATCAAGGGGACTTCGCTTGACTACAAGAGGTGAAATTCTGAAGTTTTTCGGGGTGCTAATCCTTATGAGTCGGATTGAATTCAGCACCAGAAGGTCTCTTTGGAGCTCACAGGAAACCAGCAAATATCTCCCGCAACCTCAATTCGGAAACATTATCTCCCGCAGAAGATTCGAGGAGCTTCGTCAGAATGTAATGTTCAGCTTTCCAGCCGACTCAAATGACAGATGGGGTATGATCAGGGACTTCATGGTCGCAATCAATGATCACAGAGCATCACATGTGATTCCATCACAGAACATCTGCGTTGATGAGAGTATGTCACGCTGGTATGGACTTGGAGGAGATTGGATTGAAACCGGTCTTCCTCATTATGTGGCCATGGACCGAAAACCCGAGAATGGCTGTGAGTTGAAGACTGCTGCATGTGGAAAAAGTGGAATCATAATAAGAATTGAGAACGTCGTCTCAGCTGAGGAGACTTCTTAAAAGGATTTTGAAAGTGACCACTTACACGGAACTGCAGTGACTTTGAGGTTGTTACAGCCATGGTTTCACACCAATCGTGTTGTCTGCGCGGATTCGTACTTTGCTTCTGTCCACACGGCTGAATCACTTTATGAGAAAGGTCTTAGATTCACAGGTGTAGTGAAGACATCTACCAAGAAATATCCGATGAAATATCTATCTCATCTAGAGATTGCTGAAAAGGGAGAGCACGTCACACTAGTTTCGAAGCCGGTGGCCGGGCCTCATCTCATGGCAGTGATGTGGGTGGACCGAGACCGCAGATACTTTATTAGTTCTGTCGGAACATCCAACGAAGGAACTCCAATATACCGCGAGAGATGGCGTACACGTCATGGCGTGAAAAGAAAAGAGGAATTGTCTATCCGTATTCCTTCAGTCTGTGAGCAGTATTATGAAACTTGCTCTCAGATTGACGGCCACAACAGATCTCGTCAGGATGATCTCGGCTTGGAAAAGAAGTTCGAAGTCAAGGAGTGGTCTATGCGTGTCAACATTTCTTTATTGGCAATTTGCATTGTGGATGCATGGAAACTGTATGCAGGTGCAAAAGGAGATGGTTCTAAGATGTCTCCAAATCAGTTTTATTGTGAACTTGCTGACCAGTTGATTGATAACAAGTATGATCGTATATCGTTACGTCAGCGAGAATCAAACAGTGCTGTTGAAGATGAAGATGTTGGGTTTGGCAGTGGAATTGGTACTCACCTAACTCCAACCACTCGCAAGCGGAAAAGCGCATCCGGCGAAGAGACTTGTGCTCTTTATCAATCCAGGTGCAATATTTGCAAAGGTACAAAAAAGTCAAAGTTTATTTGCTCAGCCTGCAAGATATATTTTGACAAAAAAGTATACCTTTGTCATCACCAGACTGGGCGTGACTGTTTTAAGAAACATGTCGACGAACGTCACGATCTTACTTACAAAGGGAAGTAGTACTAGTGCTTAAAGCGTTCTCGGCCATTAAAACTGACTAAATGGGTCAGCATTTGAGTAAAATAGAGCAAAAAGAGATAAAAAACTCCTTTTGCCCCCTACGGTTCTATCATGCGTCTAAAGACTTTCTTGGAAGACCTGCAGCCGTATCGGAATGCCCCTTCATGAGATGTCACCGTATTCAATCTCATGTTCGAGTGGGCGCTATAACGCGTCCTGGGCTGCAGGTCACGAACAAGAACCATCGAGATCCCCGAAGGGATTTTGCGACCACTAAAGTGCTCCGCGAGGAGTTGAACCCCGGCCTCTAAGACTCAGCGATGCTTGCAGACCACTGAGCTGGCTTGTCAGTTACTAACTAGTCGTTTGTAGTTGTCTTTATAGTTGTTCAAAGTTCTACTTCGTAAAAATTGTGCTCCTTTTGTTCTATACTTGCGAAAATCTTAAATTTTGTTTAAAGTTTACGGTAGAGCATTTGACCTCATATGAGGCAAATTGCCGGTCGTCTAGACACTAGAATCGTTATCTCCAAACGCTAAATTTCTCATATTTAACCTCGAAATATAACTAAACCAGTAGGGGTGCTCTTAGATGCCGCTTTCACATGTTTTCATGCGCGACGGACGGACGGCTGCATAACACCTGGACTCGTGTGACACGTAGCACTTTTCGTGTTCGTACGTCTGGCCGGCATTTAATGGGAGGATGGCATTAGCAAATATGGCACTAATGAGAGTCCCCCCCTTTACCAGACTTCCTTTTGTTGCGGGCAGGTACCTTGCTGGAGGTCCGGCCCTGAGGGCCGTTCCTAACGAAGAGTTCGGTGTGCTAGCACGCGAGCACCCTGATATTTGGCATGAATGGATTGGTTGAACGGGAGTAAAAGCATTTCCAATAATTTTTTCAACTAATACATTCATGCCAAGTTTCAGGGTGCTTGCGTGTTAGCACACCGAACTCTTCGTTAGGAACGGCCCTCAGTCCGAAAAACTCGTGGGATTTTTCAAACTCGGGTTTACTTCACGTCCAGCGAGTTTGTGGGCAAATGGAAAAAAATAACGGCAGATTGTGAACAATCTGCCTAAACACTGCAGCCAATCCCTATCACCCAGCAACGCATCGCGATTTCCCCTCTCTAATTTATGTCAGTAGAAGTATGAGTACCTTCAGATAATACGTGTGCCGATGGTGGGAGCCTGACCAACCACATCGTTCGTTGTGTGAAGCATCTCATTCAAACTGCTCGTTTTCTCAGTTGTGACCCCTGTCGTCTTTAAACTGTCTGGCTCTATGCAGTGCTGCGTTTCCCTCACAACATGCTGCCATCATGTTTCTTTTCAAGTATAAACGAACATATTTCCTCACCAGTGGGCGACTCCGAAAAATATAAATTGTGTACACACAAATTTCCTTGTGTATGTTCGTCGTATTTTGTGCCTTGGCACGGAAATGCATGTGAACAAAAATTTGTGTAAGACACATTTAATGCCAATTCACCCTCAGTGAGGTGTCAGCACGCCGGCGGACGGATTGCGGTACCCCCTTCACGCCCTATCCTATGATACTGACGAAGGAGCCGCCGGCTTGGGGACAAATATCGGGTGCCGGCTCCTCGTCAGAGTCGGCAACATGAGCCATGTAGACGTTGGGCTGCGGGGTTGGACAGCGGCTGATACGACGGAGGGAAAGTGTGGAGGGAGGCCAGATCGAAATAGGAATGAGGTTGCCGAGGGGTGGGATGGGTTGATCGGACAGATCGCAGAGAAATATTTGAGCACATGGTATGATATAGGGTGGTATAGGTGGGTGCGGATGTGCGTTTGTGTCTGTGCACAAACAATTACATCGGGAGGGGAACGAAGAGCAAATCGGCGGTTTGTGTATGCACAAACACCTCCGACTCAATCAAAATCGGCGGATTTGCGCATACACAAAATGTGTTTTTATGTTTTTCGGAGTCGCCCAGTTATTGTAGGAGATCTAAGAGCAAGTGCAACAAGCGCTACCGCAGCGACGGCAGCGATGGCCGGTGTTCTCGGAGCCATCTCTATCAAGGATGGACCCTTCCCTACTACCGACTACCGAGCTAAGATGGACATGATTCATACACCACTGCACTGATCCCCCACGCATTCATCTCTACTAACAACTACATTCGCGGCAGTAGAGCCGCTCATGCTACCGTGCTTATCCAGTATAAATACCAAGCTCTGTCCCCACACATCTTCTTGAAGTTCCCACCATCCAACCACCCACCATTCAACCACTTACCATCAAACTATATTTCAGCGAATCTATCCACTGAGCCAAACTCTCAACATGGCCTTTCTCGACCACATCACCATAGAAGACACGCCCGCTGGGACTGCTGTACGCAACTATCTCGAAGGACAAAATGCTCGCAATAAGGAAATGCTCGTCTCTTCCATGTCAGAAGACGTCATCCTCTATGGGAAGATATTCAAGGTGTCCGGTCGCGACGCCGTTGTCGCCACATTTTTGGATTTCCTCACTAACATGGTCGTCTCCATGCGCATCGAGGCTGTTACACGGGTCGAAGGTTCCGACCAGTTCATCGTTTTGTTCAATGCTTTGATCAAGGGGAACGAAAAGGAAATGCCAATCGTTGATCTGCTCCGTACCAAGGATGGTAAGATTAATCGTGTAGATGATTGCTTCGATGTGAACAAGGTGCCCAAGTAGATCCCAGCAGGGGCTGAATAGGCTTCTAGTATGTGACAACGCAGATCTCTTTCTTTGCTCAGTAAAATTCGTTGTCTCGTTCTTTGAATCACTCGCATGTTCATTTCGACGTTTAGTTCGCAAAGTATGTGTGAAGTATCGATCAGTCCCTTACAGCGACTGTGCGTTAATTTTGGTGTCTATGTACAGCTGAATTGTTTTAGGCTTCACTGATTCTTGTCTGAGAATTCTCTTTGCTCAGGACTTGCTTGTAAAAGGAAAATTGTAGAAAGGTGATCTTGTAAACTTCACACGCTGAGTTTCCCAAGCCTTGCACGGCCTGTTCGTTATGCGAATTGTTTTGGAATCCAAACGATTCAATCCGCGCATAAGTCGGTGATTGGCACATTGTGATGCTGTCATGCTTGGTTTGTTTTCCATATTTCTGTCGTTGAATCTTTTTGAAGGCTCACATGACCACGGCAATTGACCGAGATAACGGACGCATCAGCGAGCTCAAGCGGGTTTAACAAGCTCACTATGCGATGTCAGTTCAAAAAAGGCTAGTAGTCTTAAGCTAGCATATGAGGACAGAAGTTTTTTATTTTTTTTAGACAACGCAACTCGTAACTTTACATCGGTTTTTTGCAACCAGAAGGCCATCACTACAAGTAAAGAACCTGCTCGTCACTTCTAGAGAAAACTAACTCATTGGTGGACATGAAGGTGTTCAAAAGAAAAGGTCGGCTTACAGTATTCGCATTTTTCTTTAAGCTAATTTTATATCAGTAGCATAGAAAATAGCCTTGAGTGCTTCCTATTTGGCTTCATCTTCAGAGAAAATTTAAAACGAGGCAACCTACGAAAGAAAAATAGACTCCGTGGGCATCAAAAGTTGAAAAGAAATACAATTCGCACATTTTATGTTATGATAACGCTTGGGATAGAGACTAGTGTCTAGACGACAAGTGACTTCATAAGGCCATTTGACCTCATGTGAGGTCGCTTATTTTTTCTCGACATGTGCTTGCTCAGCATGAAAGAAAAAGATACTTTCGTCACCGCACTTGACTTCTGCGTTGCGGAAGGGTGGAGCTTGGTGAGATTTGCACGACTTTTCCAGCCATTTTTAGAATGCCGTGGCCGTGAGATACATCGCTGAAGGCTTTTTTATCAGGAGGTTTTCTGAGGGTGCAAATTAAGGGGATGCCCAAGTTTAGCACCAAGTAAGCTGCGGTAGATTACTGAGTTCGTACCTACTGTACAAGGTGCTACTTAGTTTTGTAGTTGATATTGTGTGCAAAATATGGCCAGCAAGTAGGTGACACAAAATGGAGCTCTTCCGGCCGCAAGCACCTAGGATCACATGCATCTGGCTAGCAGTGCAGCGAAATACTTGAGGTGTTACGAGACGGCTATAAGTACTCTGACGATCGAAACAGTAAAGAAGCACCAGTGCCTACACAGATGTTGTTTATATTTGGTATTGGTCCCTTTTCAACTTTTTGGGGTGTGTCAGTGGTCACAGCTTAAACTATTCCGCAGAACCGCTCTTGCACTTCTGTCACTATCATTTGGTGTGTAGGCCTAGGCTGCTAAGGGAGCTTACTGACCAAATATAAACAACATCTGTGTAGGCACTGGTGCTTCTTTACTGTTTCGATCGTCAGAGTACTTATAGCCGTCTCGTAACACCTCAAGTATTTCGCTGCACTGCTAGCCAGATGCATGTGATCCTAGGTGCTTGCGGCCGGAAGAGCTCCATTTTGTGTCACCTACTTGCTGGCCATATTTTGCACACAATATCAACTACAAAACTAAGTAGCACCTTGTACAGTAGGTACGAACTCAGTAATCTACCGCAGCTTACTTGGTGCTAAACTTGGGCATCCCCTTAATTTGCACCCTCAGAAAACCTCCTGATAAAAAAGCCTTCAGCGATGTATCTCACGGCCACGGCATTCTAAAAATGGCTGGAAAAGTCGTGCAAATCTCACCAAGCTCCACCCTTCCGCAACGCAGAAGTCAAGTGCGGTGACGAAAGTATCTTTTTCTTTCATGCTGAGCAAGCACATGTCGAGAAAAAATAAGCGACCTCACATGAGGTCAAATGGCCTTATGAAGTCACTTGTCGTCTAGACACTAGTCTCTATCCCAAGCGTTATCATAACATAAAATGTGCGAATTGTATTTCTTTTCAACTTTTGATGCCCACGGAGTCTATTTTTCTTTCGTAGGTTGCCTCGTTTTAAATTTTCTCTGAAGATGAAGCCAAATAGGAAGCACTCAAGGCTATTTTCTATGCTACTGATATAAAATTAGCTTAAAGAAAAATGCGAATACTGTAAGCCGACCTTTTCTTTTGAACACCTTCATGTCCACCAATGAGTTAGTTTTCTCTAGAAGTGACGAGCAGGTTCTTTACTTGTAGTGATGGCCTTCTGGTTGCAAAAAACCGATGTAAAGTTACGAGTTGCGTTGTCTAAAAAAAATAAAAAACTTCTGTCCTCATATGCTAGCTTAAGACTACTAGCCTTTTTTGAACTGACATCGCATAGTGAGCTTGTTAAACCCGCTTGAGCTCGCTGATGCGTCCGTTATCTCGGTCAATTGCCGTGGTCATGTGAGCCTTCAAAAAGATTCAACGACAGAAATATGGAAAACAAACCAAGCATGACAGCATCACAATGTGCCAATCACCGACTTATGCGCGGATTGAATCGTTTGGATTCCAAAACAATTCGCATAACGAACAGGCCGTGCAAGGCTTGGGAAACTCAGCGTGTGAAGTTTACAAGATCACCTTTCTACAATTTTCCTTTTACAAGCAAGTCCTGAGCAAAGAGAATTCTCAGACAAGAATCAGTGAAGCCTAAAACAATTCAGCTGTACATAGACACCAAAATTAACGCACAGTCGCTGTAAGGGACTGATCGATACTTCACACATACTTTGCGAACTAAACGTCGAAATGAACATGCGAGTGATTCAAAGAACGAGACAACGAATTTTACTGAGCAAAGAAAGAGATCTGCGTTGTCACATACTAGAAGCCTATTCAGCCCCTGCTGGGATCTACTTGGGCACCTTGTTCACATCGAAGCAATCATCTACACGATTAATCTTACCATCCTTGGTACGGAGCAGATCAACGATTGGCATTTCCTTTTCGTTCCCCTTGATCAAAGCATTGAACAAAACGATGAACTGGTCGGAACCTTCGACCCGTGTAATAGCCTCGATGCGCATGGAGACGACCATGTTAGTGAGGAAATCCAAAAATGTGGCGACAACGGCGTCGCGACCGGACACCTTGAATATCTTCCCATAGAGGATGACGTCTTCTGACATGGAAGAGACGAGCATTTCCTTATTGCGAGCATTTTGTCCTTCGAGATAGTTGCGTACAGCAGTCCCAGCGGGCGTGTCTTCTATGGTGATGTGGTCGAGAAAGGCCATGTTGAGAGTTTGGCTCAGTGGATAGATTCGCTGAAATATAGTTTGATGGTAAGTGGTTGAATGGTGGGTGGTTGGATGGTGGGAACTTCAAGAAGATGTGTGGGGACAGAGCTTGGTATTTATACTGGATAAGCACGGTAGCATGAGCGGCTCTACTGCCGCGAATGTAGTTGTTAGTAGAGATGAATGCGTGGGGGATCAGTGCAGTGGTGTATGAATCATGTCCATCTTAGCTCGGTAGTCGGTAGTAGGGAAGGGTCCATCCTTGATAGAGATGGCTCCGAGAACACCGGCCATCGCTGCCGTCGCTGCGGTAGCGCTTGTTGCACTTGCTCTTAGATCTCCTACAATAACTGGTGAGGAAATATGTTCGTTTATACTTGAAAAGAAACATGATGGCAGCATGTTGTGAGGGAAACGCAGCACTGCATAGAGCCAGACAGTTTAAAGACGACAGGGGTCACAACTGAGAAAACGAGCAGTTTGAATGAGATGCTTCACACAACGAACGATGTGGTTGGTCAGGCTCCCACCATCGGCACACGTATTATCTGAAGGTACTCTGCTGACATAAATTAGAGAGGGTAAATCGCGATGCGTTGTTGTGTGGTGGGGATTGGCTGCAGTGTTTTAGGCAGATTGAGAGTGAAAATAGAATTGAGATTTGAAAAGAACCTAAATTCTAGAAAATATTGGGCAAGAGCCGGTCAAGAGAGATTCACAACTCAGAACTCTCTCAAACGCTACACCGGCCATGTCATCACAACTCGCTCGAGGCCCGGGTCATTTGGGTCCCGCACATCGCACCACCTCACGTCCCCTTCACGCCTCATCCATCCACCAGAACATGAATACTACTTACACACCGCTTGCCACCACCTAGCCGTTCCCTCCATGAAATCGCCGCCCCTCTGCTTCCACAATGCCATCCGACCCCAACTGCGATCTTCCGCCGGTCGTGCGCAAGTTTCTCCGCACTGCCCACACGCGGACGCAAGCCACGGTCCGGCAGTCGCAGCGCTCGCTCCTACGCTTCAGCAAACAAGCGCGACGCGCCGTCTCGCAGTTCGCCCGCCCGCTCCCCCCTCCCCGCCAGCAGCGCTCCGCCGTGTCACGCCGCTCCAACGACTACGTCCGCGGCGGCGTGGAGATGCTGGCCACCGCCGCCGCCATCTCCGTTGTCGTCTACGCGTCGTATAAGGGGCTCGCCCGGTTCAACACGGCTGACGATATCCCGGGTAGCCTCATACGGCAGGGTCGTGTATTGCATGGATACGTCGTCTCCGTGCGCGATGGCGACGGCATTCGAATGAGGCATACCCCGTTTTTGAGGCGCTTGATGCAAGACGTAGCTGTTCCGAAGGGGAAGAAGCTTTCTGAGTCGACTATCGCCGTTAGGCTTTCGGCCGTGGACGCGCCGGAGTCTTCGCAAAAGTACGGGAAAGTCGCCAAGGAGTGGCTCCGCGAATATGCTGTTGGACGCCAAGTGCGCGTGCAGTTGCATTCGACCGATAGATATAGGCGCGTCGTGGCAACGGTGTACCGCAAGCATAACAATCCGCTGTTGAGAACTCTGGGTTTGGGGCAGAAGAATCTTTCGATGGAACTCACGCGGGCGGGGTACGCCACATTGTATGATCGCGGCGGGGCGCAATACGGAAGTGAGAAAATGAAGAAGCTTTACATGGCTGTCGAAGCTTCGGCCAGAAAGAAGAAGGTTGGTATGTGGGCGGATCCAAAGGGCTATGTTTCTCCCATGGACTACAAGGACGCTTTGAGGTCGGGCGTCATGAGAAAGCTGAATGGACCTAGGATTGTGAAGAAAACGACAGGGACGGCTGAGAAGAATGCAATGTCGAAACCGAATTCGCCGGTTGAAGGCCAGGGGCAGGAGCATGACTCCTTATTAGGATCGCTGTATAGATTTGCGGCCATGTCATACCATTTTCTCAAGCGCTACCGGTAACTGATAACTGCTGTCTTCATGCTCTTTTCGGCGCTTGAGCGCTCCGCTCAATTTATAAATGTCCGAGTCTCTACTGGGCAAGCTGGCACCGCATTACGTGTGGCACCAGTGCAGGGAGATGTCATAAGATACGTATCGTTGTGGGCACCGGTGACATACTGAGAAAAGGTTTTTTCTCTTTTCCTCGTGAGCACCATGCACAATAACGAAGGCGTTGCTGCGGCAGAAGCACAAGCGTATTCTAAACCTATTATGCAAGCACAGCAAAGCTTGATAGAGTAGCATTAGACCAATATCAACGGCAGCTGTTCTCTCCAGGCTCCACTGCCGTGAAGTCGGTGTGGAGATTGCTGTGCCTCGAAGGCCATGCCGTAAATTATTTTGGAAATATTTGATTTGCTTATTCCGAACGAGTCCGTCCTTCAGCCCATTCTGAATCACCAGTGTGCGCTCCGCAGGTAAAAAACCGAAGGCTGCTCTGTCCGTCTCTGTCAAGAGAAAGACAAAGCGACCTGTGCATGCACAGACTCACTGAGCTGCCCAAACCGCCGTGGCCAGACGGCGCTTAACGCCACCATCTCCATCGTGAATGTGGCGCCACGTCCTACCACGCTCGTGGTCCGCTGTGCCCATCGCCCGACACCTTCATAGAGTCCCGCGGCATCATGGCCTCATCCAACAGCGACAGGCCCTTCATGCGTTTTCTTCATGGCAGCCCCTCGCTCAGCACATGAGCCCTAACCGGATCCTCCGGAGCACCGCTTGGCGTGCGAACCATCTTTCCACCGACACCAGCCGCGGGGAGAAGCTTCACCCGGACCGGAAGCAATCTTCGCAAGCCCAGGCCTCGAAGAGCCGCCTCACTGAAGATATTAAGGAATACAAGGCACGCGTCGCGTCGGGAAAGACAGCCAGTTTTGATCCTGTTCCAATCCCCGTTGAGTCTGCCAGCGTCTTTCCGAGAATCAAAACCACGAGTCTTTCGACCAAGAGAATCGTCATCCACGATAAGGCCATGAAGAATTCTGTCACCTTGGTGCTGGTCGCCTTCCGAAGCTTTGCCGATGATCAATTGCAGAGCTGGAAGAACACTTTTGTCAAGGACCTTCCTCAAGACTCAGTGCAATGGTACGACGTCACCATTAACGAATCCTTTGGCGCGCAGGCCCTGAGCGGTTTCATTCAACGCCTTCAGCGTGGGAGAACTGATCCCGCTCTGCACGACTTTTACGTCGCGTTCAACAGCAAAGCGAGAGAGCCGCTGGAAGCGCTACTTCCTTCGAGAAACAGAATGTTTGGATATGTTTTATTGCTTGATCCACAGGCGCGTGTGCGCTTTAGAGCTTCAGGCATGGCCACCGAGCCAGGGCTTCAGGCCATGATCTCTTGTGCGAAGGAGATCCTCTCGGAGGATGGGCGATGAGCTATGAATCAACAAGATTCGTTTGAGATAAGAAATTGCTCCACATGTAAAGTAATATCTACTTCGACCCGCGCTTGTAAGTTTCAGATATGCTTGTGCAACTGCGAGAACGAAACGAAATATTTACGGACCTGCACGAACACCCAGACACGCTATGCAGTGGACGTCTGCAACTGCGAAAACTGTCTAGCTTTCAGACCGATATACAACCGAAGCATTCGGCTGCAGACCTCCGCGGCCACTATCTGATTATACTGTTTGACGTAATATTATACTAACATGCCCATATATGGCCCCCATCAATGGTGTGCATTACTAACGGTTATCATTCTACACCTCTTCGCCCATGATGCCATCCTTGTATCTCTGCACTTTTCGCTTTGTCGGAGCTTTCTGTTTGCTTGGTTGCCCTGACGCATTGTCGTCTTCATCACTAGGCTGCGGCGGCAACGGACTGCCCGTAAGCAGGGCGTCCAAAATGACCTTTCCCTCATTGTTCATCTTTTCCAGCGTTTCCATATCATCCATATCCGTACCGTACACCTCATGCACAAGACCACTAATTCTATCGCGGCTCTCCAAGTATTCACAAAATTTTTTGTACAGCATCGGCTTGCCGTCCACTTTTGTATCACTCAACGCTGGAGTCCGCCCATGGCGCTTCTTGAAATCCTCTGACCAGCTTTGGAGCTCCTTCCTCAGACCGACATATCGATTAATATCAACAGATTCCATGAGACGATACTTTCCAATCATCCTATAATCATTTGCACTGAGATGATCCTTCCCCTTCCTCGACAACTCATCGGCGCCAATCAAACTTGGGTACAAACTGGCATCCGGTGCAAGCTTCATGGAAATTGGCCTATCATACATATCAAACATATCATCCGAAGAACCCTCCAGCGACCCCTCGACCACATACTTGGTTCCCCCCAACTCGTTCGCCATGGTCTCCTCCACGAGCCTCTTATTGCCATGCTTCGTAACCATAATAACCCTTTTAGAATTATTCATCGGTTCATCCGCAACCTCTCCTGCCTTCACAACAGGAACATCCGTCGGATTGACAGCGCCATAAACATCAGACGCCAAGCCGCGAATCTTATCCCTCATCCTGACATATTTTTCAAACTTTCTGACAATCGAGGGTGGAGCAATGCGCCGCACATCCGCCAAGCCAGGCCTACGATCGTTGGTTCGCTTAAATGTGTCCGACCAAATCCTAAGCTCTCTTCTCAACGTAACGTACTCATTAATATCCTCACTCTTGACCAAAGGATACGAGCCAACCTTGGCTCTCCCAATGCCCACACCACCGACAACTCCGTCGCCCGGGCGGCGTCTTGCCATCCTCAGCCTCCTCCTACTCTCCTCGGAAAACTGCCTATTCGAGGAGAGCGAGGCCCTCGAAATGGCGTTCTTATGCTTCGCGGAGAGCCTAGCACCCTTATTCCACGCCGTGCGGCCAAAACGCGCCTCGGACATACGTGCGCGGGTTTCGGGGCTGAGCTTCTTGCCCTTGTTCCAGGGGACGCGGCCTTTTAGCTTCTGCGAGACCTTTGCACGCATGTCGGCGCTCTTCGGGCGGCCCAGCAGCGTGAAGGCGATCTTCCGGCGGGTCTCCTCCGTGACGATACGCTTTCGCGTCCGCCGCGGCGTGGGGGGCGGCGGTGGCGGGTCGGTGGCGGGCGGCGCGGGAAGCGACATGGTGGCGGGCTTGGCGGGGCGCACGACGAACTGCGGGCGCAGCGGCGTGAGCACCGGGAGCGATGGCCCCAGACATAGCGGGAAGGGAGAGAGGAAGGCGGCCGGGATGCGCGGGCGTTTGGGGCGCGGCACTGCGGCGGGCATGGTTGTCGCGGAAGAGGGGACGGTGAGGTGGAGTTGACGCAGGGAGGGGGCAAGAATAAGGGTTTTTACGAGCGGAATCGAAGAGAAAAATCTAGGAAGAGGCTGGGCCTGGGAGGCGACAAGTGGGGTGCACCGGTTGGGCCGCGGAGATCTCGCGGGTGGTGAGGTTGGGTGTTTCTGCCGGGCCCTGTTTTTTTTTACTTTTTTGGGGAAGGCGTATGATGAAGACATTGGTCGAGATATTCTCCCCGTTCTATGCGGACATGCTCGCACACGTGCCATTGCACGTGCCATTGCACGCTGACCAGCACTTGCAAATGTGCGACTCGGAAAGACCGACCGAGATAGAAGCCACTCCATACTATACGCCTACTACTAGAACACACTTTCGACGTTGTTGTGCAGTTGTAAGAATCCCACATCGTCAGCGTGTACGCAAGAATACTACATTGGTATAAATAAATACATGCTTGAAGAATGAGGTTATGTAAGCATGGGACAGAGTGCATGTCACAATGATGGAATAGTGTCGGTAGCAAAAAGAAACGCATACTGCTGGTTGCTGGTGGCAAAAATCAGTAGAGACAGAGCAATTGTCTGTTTTGTTGCAAAGGATAGGACCAGAGGTAACTGCACGAAAGACAAGGGCTGCAAAGAATATAAGTGGGCTATTGTGGCTGTCGATGTCGCTCAATTCCGCAATAAATACCTTCGTTCGTAACAGCAGGAGATCAACTCTCGCGAGGGATCGACGGCAAAGATTAATGAGCAATAAAAGAACTGTGCGAAGAGCGGAAAGACGGACCACAACAATATACTGTAGTCGTGCTGTTATCTCTACTAAAAAGAACCCTCTGCCACGAAACTCTCTAAGGGTCGGAGCCACCAGCTCCAGTGCAGAACCCTTCTGGGCGGCTCAATTCTGACAAGGGATCAATTATGAAAAATCACTCCAGTGTCCTCCCGCTCTCAAAACTCAACATCTTCCTGAAATACCGCCCCCTGCCCATCTCATACCTTTCTCCATTCTCTTAACCATCTAATGCTATCGTAGGCTGTGGCTCTTGCAGCCTGAGCGGACATGCCCCGCTCAATGCGCGCTCAAACGATTGCGCATAGAAAGAGGTTAGCAAAACAAAAAGCCAAACGTGGCAAGCGAGAAAAGGCTCACGAACTGCTGTTACGCAGCATTTACGCAGGAGCGGTATCATCTGAAACCGACGTTTCCCTTTCTGTTGTGTACTGTGTAAGGCGAGCCTTGATACAGAGAGACGCAAAAGGGCTTGAAAAGGTCTAACTTCGCCGGGCGCCGCACAATTCTATCGAAAGCTGAGGAAAGCCTCGTCATGGAAAAGACATTAAAAGCAGCTGAGAAGTGGTTTGCAGTAAACTGCGCAATCATGAAGAGTGTGCAGGGGAAATTTGTGGAGGACGTCCGTAAATCTATTTCCCATGGCGTTCCCCCTTCCGAGGCGATACGGTCGTTTGGAGCCCGTCATTTCGTACGGCGGAGCAGGTCTCGAGCGCAAGGCTTACCGCCGTGGTTATGCAACAAGAACTGATTCCATACCGACGCTGAGCTCCTCGTCACCAATCATGGCTCCATTGACAAAAACGTAATTGTGAAGGTTGCAGAACGTACCAACCGGCGAGAAAGACAAGCGCCAATTCCGCGCAGGAGGTGTGAGAGACTTTTTCCGACGCCAGTAAAGCGATAGCGCGTTGTGAGTCACAACTTGTGACAGCAAAATGATACTGTTACAGTGTAAAATTATACGTTTGCACTGCACTGTGATGCATTGCTGTAGAGGCCATTCAGGTGGCTGTTGTTATACAATTACAGAATATCTCGGATCACCCGGAAAACGACCGAGTCGTTTGGCAATTGTTCCTTGTCTGTGGAAACCCTCTGCATTTGCGTTAGAGACCTATTCGTCGATTCAATACTTGTGCCTGATATCTTCTGAAGTTCTCCACCCCCCATATCACACTGGGTGTAGATCTTGTGGCGACTTTAGCATGTACTGCGGATAAAAGCAAAACATACTGCACCTTTCTTTTGCCTGATAAAAGCAGTGCCAACCCACCCAGCTCATATGCTGATATCGCTCTGTTATCACCTTTGCCGCAATGATTTGAGGATGAAGTTGAGGGTTGGGTATGTGCTTACTGTGCGAACTGCGCTTGGGTTTGCTCGCCAATTACTTTTCCAAAGAGATTAGGTGTCCGTGTCAGATAAAATATGGGTTTTCTATGCCGCAATACTATTGATATAAAGATCCAGGATTCATTGAATATTCCTCATTCTCTGGGTTATCAGACTAACTCAGAATTTGCAACATGCCGGGCTCGGCTGTGTCCAAAAAGCATATTAAACAACCATGAAGCCCCGACGTTATCCAGCCCATTACAAAACCTTCTTTTGTTGCTTGTTTCAAGTAATTATGTATGAGCATAGGCTATCAGTGCTCGGAAAACATTCTCGAACTGTGTTCAATCCATTCTGGAAAAGGATAGAAAACCTCCATTGATACATCAACGTCTATAGAAAAACAACTATAGTATTACCTCAGCGGTCCATCGTCGATACAGGTATACTCCTCTAAATGATGCCACTCTCTCTTCACAATTTAAAAAGAAATGACTGTACCGCATGCACATCTCCGTTACGCTTCAACTCTGAGCTTTTCAATGGTTCCCTTGTTCGCAATGGCGAACAATCGCAATACGATAGCGTATTGAACGGCGCTCAATAGAGGAAACACAAAAAATCAGTTTGCAGAACCACTTCATTATTGCATACAACTCGTCGGTATCAAGAATGTAGAGATTCCTAACATCTCATCAACATCATTTCAACCATTCTATACACACCATACTGTACGTAATATTCAAAAAAGGCAAACTACAGAAAAATAGAAAAAGCTTCAACAAAAAAGTATGTTGGGCATCCCTGAGTCTGTTCCGACCCCTATCGTGCAGTTGCGACCTCCACCTGGTTTCGAACCCACTGACCCAGGGTCAGCGGTTTATATGACCCAGCACGTCATAACCACTGAGCTGAGATGCCTCTACGCTGTGGACAAAGTCTGATTCCGAATGATATTTAAAGTCGTACCATCACTTTCAGATTGGAAGGAATAAAGAGAGATTACTTGTGCGAGATACTTTTTTGAAATGCATTTGAGAGAAAAGTGATATTAGCACTGTTTGCAATTTAATCATGGGGTTGAAAAATCAGAGTAGATGTAGATTACTGACAAAATGGCGATCTTTGGCTGATGTCGTAGTGATCAATGAGCTCAGCCGAGATCTCGTTTTCAACTTCTTTTTACTCTAAATGACTTTAATCAATAATGGAAAGATTTCTTCTCCACTTGAAAAGAGGATTTGGTTGCGTTATCCATGAAACCCTGTTTCTTCGATATGTTCCAAAGCAAAGCGAAAAATGTACAAAAAAGCTCAAACCTTGAAGTTTAAGGGATTCTTCGTCTTTGCACATGTTTATAAACTTCTTTCTCATTGCTAGTCAATGTGAAAATTATCGAATTCCATTTGTTAACAGTGGACGCCAAAAGACAATCTTAAATAACGAATTCATATATGTAGCTTTTCCAAAAAGAATCGGGCTCCAAGAAGAAACACTATTGTCCTCCAGACCCTAGCTGGTCCGCAGCCATCTCTTTCTTACTGCATTTTAAGGAACAATCAGACCCAGAAACAAATAGGAAAAGCCATTCCGGGAGTTTTTTCTCTAGGTGGTGATCAAAAGTACCGCTGTTTTGAGGGTCGAGAATCCTGTTCAAGTGCCTTTAGCATACCGAGTGCCTCACGATTTCAGGCTGAGCAAAATTGTTCATACATGTGGTAGCGAATTTAAAGTTTGCAAAAAAGCTAGAAACAGAGGATGGGAAGCTTTCTCGGTTTGATGGTTGCGTTAGGCAACTCAAAAACTGAACCAACAATTCGCTCAATGGGAGGACAAATGTGTGATGTGAGAAACGTCAACGATATGTAGCTTTGACGCAGGTTTATGGTACTGAGTTACTCTCGTGATGCGCAGGAACTCCAAACTAGGCACTGGGGGAGCTACTGTATAGCATCAACTACTCGCGTCCATAAGGGATGCCAAGAATGTATAGTATTGTACATGAGTGTGAAAACATACACATCGGGGCCTTGCCAGAATTCCTTTTGTGTTGCATCCTACATGACCTTGACATTCGGGAAGCATGTCCAGGAAACGTGTATCGTATTGGTTGAGTAAGCAACAGTTTCCAAGACATCTGACACGAGTGCTTTGGGATGACAGTTTTGCATCACTATGTTTTGGTAGAACCATTCCGTAGAGAGACAAGAGTCTATCTCTGGATGCCACAAACGACATGTGTGATACGGTAGACGCGGACTGCTGCCGGGCTTCATACAGAAAACTACGCAACAGCTTACGTAGCACAGTATATATGTTCTGTACAGATGGAGGCGCGTCATGGGAGTGACGTTTCGCAGTACTGTGATTTGATTCGTCGGCCATTTGCAATCTGGGCTCATCTCAGACCACCTATTGGACATGTCCCTACGCCGTAAAAAGCTTCCCGCAAGAATCTATGATTCAATCCGGACGAAGAAACGTCTTGTGGCCATCCCTCTTGTGTCGCGTGATAGCACGCAGAAGCATGTTATGTGTGTGTTATACCGTATGGTCAAGCCTATTGACCTGTGTCGCTGTGCTCTCGAGTGACATCGCATGTTATGTGTGTGTTATACGGTATGGCCAAGCCTACTGACCTGTGTCGCTGTGCTCTCGAGTGACCGTCGTTAGTCCTTCTGCACTTGACCCACGGGGCATCCACTTGTGCTGCATGGGGGCTCTATCGCGGTACTACTGGACTACAAAACTTCTTGCTATATATTAGGTAACACAGCTTTCTACACACTGCAGGCACACCCATGTCTCATTTCCTGGACAAATTCAAAGGCGAAGTACGCGAGAATTCTGCACCACTACCGCAGAAATCGAGTACCGCAAAAGTTGTTCGGGACGGCCCAGGCCTGCTTATGCAGCGAGTCATTCTCATCGAAGCATTACTAAAAAGCAATTATAGCTCCTCAGTGAAAACCATGGTCCAAGGAGGTCCCAAGTCTGTCCAAGTAGTATAAACGTAGTCCCTGCGCAGCGTCAGACATCCCCTTCGAGTCATCAAGGCAACAAAACAACTCAACATGATTCCATATTCACATCACAACCTTCTTTCTACACCTCCCCTGCCGCCATTCCCAAGTGTCGCGTGACGCCAAGTTTCACTTAAACTTCAATTCTGCTGACAAGCGCTCCGGCGCCTCTCGCGTCGCTCTCCAGCGGACGCGTCAGCGTGTCCCCGGGAACGCTGGGCGGACACACTTGGGGCTGCGGATTGTAAAGTTGATCCATCACACGCTCAGCGACTTGCAGCGGCGCGGCGACACGGGGATAGACGACGTGCTCAGGCTTTGTGAAGCGCTCCACACGGCGAGAACTGTGGATGAGCAGGCCGTGTTCCTGAGGTGCGGGGCCTTGTCCGTCGGTGAGGCACCGATGAGGCACGCGAATGTGGGGCGGTTTTGCGAGACGCTGAGACCGCACGTATTCGCGTTGTTAGAGTCGTCTGGATACCCACCGCACCTGCTGGCGCCGATCCCTTTCGATTATGTGGCGCATAACAACAAGCCGAAGCTGTAGGAGAAAGGGGTCAGCGAGAAGCGTGCACCGTACCGTCGCGTTAGTAGGATTGTCAAGCGCCTCTCTCAGGCACACAGAATGAGCCCTACCTTGATCCGGGCGTCACCTGGAACGCCGGGTAAGATGAAAAAGGAAAAACCAAGCGCGGGAAGCACAATGGGCTCGGTGATCACTTCAAAAAAATGCGCTGCCCGAAGAGGGTGACATCAAGCATAGCGCCGACGTTGGCGAACATGCTGACGCACTGCTCGACATCATCCCTCTGAGCGACGAAGCGAACAATCGGAATGCGTCCATGCCCCCCGCCCGCGACCTCCGCGGCGAGGCGGTCGATGACGTCGTCCGGCAAGAGCGACGTGACTTGCGGGCTGACGGCATGCTGCCTCATCTCGAGTTCACGCAAATCGTGGATGTCCGTTGCAGCACAGCCTTTAAAAAATGCGGCGACGGCGGCGTAGTTTCTCCATCGCGGGTTGGATGTAGATTTAAAGATGAGATGCAAGGAGCGGAGGTGCGAGACGACGGAAGGGAGGGCCTTTGCGGCCTGCTTCCAGGCGCGGGCGTCGAGGCATCCGAGGCGGAGCTCCTGGAGACGGGCGGCGGTGTGCAGATGTGCGAAGACGGGGCCAGGTTTGCCGACGCGCAGGAAGTCCAGAGAGGCGAGGGGGTATTGCTTGGGAATGGGCCCGATTTCCTCGAAGGTGAGGGCGCGCAGGTGCGGGCTGTGCAGGGTAAGGGCGTGCAGTATGGGGGCCGGCGAGACTGGGCCGAATAAGCCGAACTCCTTGAGGTGTGGACCGGCCAAACGGACGATAGCAATGAGGTGCGATGCCAAGGTTGTGATGATGAAGACATCGGTTTCGTCACGGGGGAAGTAGCACTCGAGGGTTCGGAGGGTGCGGCGATAGACGGCGAGGAGACGGGTGCAGGTGAGAGCGGCGGGGAAGGCAAGTGGGGCCTGGGGTGAGACGAAATCGGGCTGGGGGAAGTGGCACAGGATGCGGAAGAGAAGTTCGTCGGGGAGGTCAAGCAGCTTGGTGGGCCTCATGGTGCGTGAGTGAGCGAGATGGTGGGAGCGGAAAGGAAGAGGGGTCGGGCATTTGTGACATGTCAAGCCTTCGGACTGGGATTCGAGTATTACACGTGGTCGCATATATCCTTGTGGTCGACGTGAGTGAAATGCACTTGTGGTACACGTACTGCAACATACCCAGGTGTAATGAAAAGTGTAAGCGAGGGTAGGATCCCGCTTTCGATTGTGACGTCACGCGTAGCAATGTCCAGCATTTCATCTTGCCCCTCACATCGGTCATATCGGTCATCGCCCCCGTTTCTCCGACGAGCTCCTGGGAGCTCGTCAGTTGGGACCAACTCACGAGCGGCAACCGGCTCTATCGCGCTGGGACGACTCCAATAAGCAGGCCTTTCCATGGCTTAGCATGGTCATCACGACCAATGTGAATGGAGGCGAAGGGGGGAGATGAGTGTGAGGTCCTTATGGAAATTAGGCTGCCACTCGCTTGCCATGTGGTACTCCGAAGTGAACCGAGACCAGTGTCAGATAATACACGGGGGCTCTACATTGCGTGGAATTCTATACTGCTGAAGTTCATCAAGATCAAATATTTCTCATTCTCTGTTATACCAGATCGATTCAAGACTCGTCTTGTGTCGATGGCCCTGCTGTGTTTGCATGTGCAGCACAGCACAGCTCTTTGGGACTCGGGTTTATCTCATGTGTTAGCCAAGTGCCTTGTTGATTGTTTGAAGAATTCCTGTTTAAACTGCTGCATCTCCTTTCGAAAATGTTGTGGGATTGTGATAATCCATAAAAACAGAAATACTACACAGAACCCTCTTGATACATCCAAAGCCACCGTTAGAAAATGTATATGGTATCATCACAGCAGTCGATCTTCACAACTCATACGCCACTCCCAAGACTTTCATAATCTTTGATTACATAAAAGAAATGAATGTACCGCATGCGTTTCTCTTTTATGTTTAATGCATGATGTGATCATTTCAACGGGCATATATGAACAGTTGTAATAAAAGACCAAATTCAACGGTACTCAATGGAAGAACAAACCAATACATCAGTCTATGTATATTTCTATCTTTCCTTACAGGCAAAAAGTTTGTATGAAGATTCCTTACATCTCATCGACGTAATTTGAACCGTTCTATGCACACAATACTGCACCAACTCTGAGAAGAGAGCTTGCAAAAAATAATAAAAAGTGTTTGAAACAAAAAATATGGTGGGCATCCCTGAATCGCCCGATTCTAACCTGCGGTTGCGACCCGCCACCTAGAATCGAACCCACTGACTCAGGGTCAGTGGTTTATATGACCCAGCACGCCATAACCACTGAGCTGAGATGCCTCTACGCTGTGGACAATGTCTGATTGCGAATGATATTTAAAGTGGCACCATCACTTCCAAATGGGAGAGAATAAAAAGAGAGATTACTTGTGCGAGATACTTTTTTGAAATGCATTTGAGAGAAAAGTGATATTGGCACTGGTTGCAATTTAATCATGAAGTTAAAACATCAAAGTTGATAAATATTACTGACAAAACGGCGATCTAATGTCTTGGTGATCAATGAGCTCAGCTGGGATCACTTTTCCGACTTCCTTTTTCTCCAATAGAATTTTTCTCAACAATAGAAAGAGAACATCTCAACTGAAAATCGAGTTTCGCTGCGTTATCCAGGGCAAGTGTGTTTCTTTGATATATTCGAAAGCAAACGCAAAGTTTAGAAACAAAGCTCGAAATTTGAAGTTTATTGAGTTCTTTGTCTTTGAAGACGTTCAGAGCTTCTCTCCCGCTGCTCTCCAAGATTTTTGTTGTCAAAGGAAATAGTTTCAAAGTCGACCTCAAATCGATAATCTATAATAAGAAATTAGGTTGCGTGCTTTTCCCCCAACATGCCGGCCTCAAGGAGGAAGAAGGAATGTCCTCTAGACATTTCTTGGTCCGGCATCTCTCCCTTGACGCATTTCAAAGTAGCAATCAGTCCGGGAAATATATAGGAAAATTCATGTCGATGCCGCCGATGTTTTACTCAGGGGTGAGCAACAGTACTGCTCTTCTCAGAGTCGAGATTCGTGTTCTACCTGTAACATGTAGAAAGCTCGCGTGATCTCAGGCACTCTCATCGCAACATAGCCGTGTACCTCATTCTTCTTGGACACAGAAACCTGTCCTAGATCTGTGGGTGAAAACGTGTAACACAGTGGCTCAAAACTGAAACATTCCTCGGTCGTTCGAAATGACAGCATCTCGTTGGTAGACATTCATCACAGTTTAGAAAATCATTTCATCGCTGACTACAGAAACACCATTTTTGAGTCTCCATATGCCACGAGCATGGCAACAGCGTGATGTATGGCGTGCAGGGACTGTTGCTCTTTCATTAAAAAAACAGCACGGCAGGGAAAAATGGTTTGAGAACAGTTACCGTTATGACATGCATGAGTCGTGAGGAGCGGGAATGACGTTTCGCAGTAGTGCAAATTCATTCGTCGACAAAGGACACATCTGGGCTCATCTCACGACTTCCATTGGATGTGCCCCGCACCGTGAAAAGCATCCAAAACATAACTTCGATTCAACACAAACGAAGAAAAATCTGTCCGAAATTTCAGGTGAGGCTACCTCTTGCTGGCCGTATCAGTTGATTGCACATAGCCAAGCCCTTTGGCATGAATGGCCATGCTATTTGGTTCACCCCCCTTTTGCACATTTGTTTCGTTCTGCACCTCGTCTACAGCGACATCCAACTTCTGCCCTTTCATTGGCGTCTTGTCAAGACGCTAGTAGCACCTTCATGCCGCTTGTTCCCAAGTAGCTAACGGTATTTGCACATTACAAACACATCTAATTCCCCTGTCCCGAACAGGTTCACGAGCAACCATTCTTTTCGACCACTGGGGAAATGGTGTACGCTGGCCTTGTTCGGGATGGGACAAGTGTACTCATGCTGCGAGCCATTCTCTTCGAAACGATCCCAAGATGCAAGAACAGCTCCTCCATAACACGTTTGGTCAAAAGAGGTCCCGAGGCGGTCCAAATAGTATAAATGTAGTCCCTACCGATCCTCAGACTCAGACTCAGACATTACCCTTTAGGCATCAAGACAAGAAGAGATCGCAACTTGACTTCATATTTACATCACCATTTCTCTACTCAAAATGAACATTTCCGATGCCACTTTCCAACGTCTTGAGGCCGAGTTCAACGCCCCTTCCGTCCGCAGTTCAACTTCCCCCCTTCTCAATCGTCAGTGGATCTCCGATGCCGAGGCTCAACAGCGGGCCGGAGTCAATCCTTTCCCCCCAGGAGTAGTTGCCCCTCGCCCCGTCTTTGACATCAAAAAAATGCGCGAGTTGCTGGACATGAACAACTTTGCCCTCCGCGACAGCTTCTATGAGCTCTTCAAGAACCCCGTCTTCTTCCCGCGCTATAACGAATCCCTCGCCGAACAGAGGGCACGCACCATACAGAGGTGGCGCCTCATCGCAAAGACCGGCGTTTTTCACAACACCTTGCAGACTTTTACGGCAGAGGGACGCCAGCGGTATGAAGCCACCCTTGAATCTGTTGGTGCCATGGAGCACAGCATGGAGATTAAAATGGGGGTTCACTACGGACTTTTCGGCGGGACCGTGAGCTTAATGGGCGACGACGAGCAGTGCGCAAAGTGGACGCCCAAGATCGAGAACTGCCAGATGCTCGGTTGCTTTGCCATGACGGAACTGGGGCATGGATCCAACGTCAAGGGCATCCAAACGAAGGCCGTCTACGATATCCCCTCCCAAACATTCATCGTGAACACCCCCTGCGAAGAAGCTCAAAAGTACTGGATAGGTGGCGCCTTCCAATCTGCACGCTGGACCGCCTTATTCGCACAGCTCTACGTCAAAGGCGTCTGCCATGGCGTGCACCCCTTCCTAGTCCGCATTCGCAACGAAGATGGCACTACCGTCCCGGGTGTAACCATTGGCGACTGCGGCGCCAAGAACGGTCTCAACGGCGTGGACAACGGTCGAATGTGGTTTTCCAACGTGCGCGTTCCCCATGACCACCTCCTCCGCCGCCATTCGCAGGTGTCCCGTGACGGCACGTTCACCTCAAACTTCAAGTCTGCTGACGAGCGCTTCGGTGCCTCTCTCGCGTCGCTCTCCGGTGGACGCGTCAGCGTGTCTGCGGGGTCCCTCGTCCAAGCCAAGCTGGCGCTGTCCATCGCCATCCGGTATGGCCTCTCGCGCAAAGCGTTCGGGCCACCGGGGCAGGAAGAGACGCGGCTCATGGACTACCCCGCGTACCAGGCGAGGCTCATCCCCCCGCTAGCAACCACATTCGTCATGCAGCTAGTGCTCAACCATCTCAAAGCCAAATGGCAGCGAGGGGAGCTCGGGCGCGAACTCCACGTGTGGAGCTCCGGATTCAAGGCTCTCATCTCGTGGCACTCCCTACAAACGCTGCAGGAGACACGCGAAGCGTGCGGCGGGCAGGGGTACAAATCGGAAAACCGCATCGGCCCGATGAAGACCTCGCACGACGTGGCCCTGACGTACGAGGGCGATAACCACGTCCTGCTGCAAGCGGTGACCAAGACGGTGTTTAGTGAGTTCATGAAGGGCGTCCGCAGCGGTGGCAACTTCAAGGGTCACTTTGCATACCTCAAGGACGCAGAGGGCCTGAGACAGGCCGACCTGTCCGGCATGGACGCGCGGTCCGCGGCGTTCGCGCTGACAGTAATGCGGCGGCGCGAGGCGGCGCTGTTCGCAAGGCTGGCAGCCGATCTACAAAAGCGAACAGCGACGGGAGTGTCGTCGCTCCAGGCATTTAATGACTGTGCCGTGCTTGTGGAGGACGCTGGGCGGGCACACGTGGAGCTACTGATGGTAGAACTGTTCCATCATACGCTGGGTGACTTGCAGCGGGGCGGCGAGACGGAGGTGGCCGACATGCTCAGGCTTTGTGGAGCACTCCACACGGCGAGAACAGTGGATGAGCAGGTCGTGTTCTTGAGGTGCGGGGCCGTGTCCGTCGGCGAGGCACAGATGATGCATGCTAATGTGGGGCGGTTTTGCGAGACGCTGAGACCTCACGTATTATCGTTGGTGGAGTCGTTTGGTTACCCGCCGCATCTGCTGGCGCCGATCGCTTTCGATTACGTAGCGCATAACAGCAAGTCGAGGTTGTAGGAGAAGGGGGTTAGGGAGGATGCGTGTAAATTACTGTACCGTAGCTAGAGTAGGATTGTAAAGCGCCTCTCACAGGCACACAGATTGAGCCCTATCTTGGTCCCGCATTACCTGGAACAGCGCGCGCCTTCGTGGCGCGCTTCCATTCAAGGCGTTGAGTGAGCTGAGGCGGAGTTAGAGGGGAAGCTTGCTGGTGTGGAGGTGCGCGAAGACGGCGGCAAAAAGCAGAGACTCGACGAGGTGGTTCGCAGAGGGGTGGCGCGAGGGTTCTTGGAAGGTGAGCCTACGTAGTTTCGGGCCGTGAAGGGTGAAGTTTTAGAGAAAAGGGTGACGGGACGTAAGGGGTGCGGGCGCGCACGGCGGGTGAGGGGGAAGAAAAGGCAGACGATGTGGTCTCTGTTGCGAATATCGGGCGGGACCAGCAGTAGGATGAGAGGGAGGGTGTAGAGGGTGCGGCGGTAGAGGTGGTGGAGATGGGTGCAGGTGAGGGCCGCAAGGAAGGGCGGTGGGGCCGCAGGTATATTGAAGTACATGCTTATCCGCGACACCATGTCGTGCACGGCAACAGAAACAAACATTCTTGCATTCTCAGGGATGATTGAGCGTCCGCAGTCACGGGAGCGGACTCCCTACTCACTTTTCTTGTATCGTATGTGGGGGGTGCGGCGGTCGACACGCGCGTCGCGGGTTTTTGTGTGTGGAAGGCCGGGCCTAAGCCCGGCGCAGACGTGCGCCCCGTGGCCGAGGGCTGAACTGCCCCCGAGATATATGGTCGTGGGAAGGGAAGAGACCGAAGTGTCTCTTCCAAAGGGCTGGCCTCTGACGAGGTGGCCCATGTCACCGGCCAAAATGATCGTCCCGACGGAACGGGACTGATGGTAAAGACCGATCTCGCGCACACATCCCCTGGATGTTACCGTGGGGGAGTAGTGGTTGGTGAGGAAAGAGAGGCTCACGACAAGCGTGGTGACTCCCTCATGCCTCCTCCAGTGCGGCGAGGTCTGGATGGATCCTTCGAAGCATCCTGCTGCTAGACTGGTCCAGCAGCCCTCAGGCCCGCAGGTCTTGGACGAGGCCCAAACCCGCGGGCCGGTGTGAGCCAGAAACCGAGCGTAGTATCCCTCGACGACGACACTACGCCAGGAGTGGCCCTCACGGGTCTTGCTATCTTCACTTGGGTGGGGGGCGCCAGCGGTAGCGAGGCTAGCGACTCCCTCGGCAACATTCCAACTGTTATTTGCTTGGTCCTGGGCTCCCGGCTCCCCTGATGCAGGGGCTCCGGCCGGAAGGTTGTGGGACTTGACATTCTGACCCCACTGAGGACGAAAAACCTTGCCCAATTTTCCATCGACCAAATTTTAGACCATTGGGCAAGATTGGCATACTGTACCCTTGGTACTGTATGCGTCCCCGTCGTGCAATAATTTCCCACAGATGCGGGGGGGGGGGTAAACTTTACGTTTTTCGATCTGTCTGTCGACGCGCGCTGCGGCGTGCGCGCCAGCAATGCGGGCGGTGCGGTGGCGGAGACGGCGTTTCCGCGCAAGGGGCGCGCGCGGCAGGACACTTGTGGTGTACAGTATTGTACCAGTACTGTAACGGTTACAGTACTGGTGTACTCAGGTTACAGTGTAACCTGACTACAAGCGGGCGGGGGCACCGCGCGCTGCGGCGGCAGCGGTCGCGACTCGCGACCGCCGCCGTAGCGCGCCGCACTCGACGAGGCGGTCAAGAGGAGCTAGCATAAGACCTGCCCGTTGATGTACGCGTTTTGAGCGTCGATGGTAGCCAGGTATTCGCTTTGCGAGAAGATAACCTGGAAACCAGCCAGTGTGGCAGTATGCAATCTACGGTTGTCTCGCCGCAGAGGTCGTCGTAGGGGTTGAAGGACTGATTCCTCGCCTCATGGCATTGGCAGCGACGATTACGCCGAACAAAAGCATTGCCTGCTCGCATGAGCAGCATAAGCAGGATGAGCAGTGCCTGAGAGCAGCAGTGGGAGGTTGTCGGAGAGACCAAGGTGATCGGAGGGGGCGTGATGTAGCGCTGGACGAAACGCAAGACGTGACGTCACCATCGAATCCCAGATTCCATTCCCATCGGAGCTTACACTGATGCATACAGTAACACCGATGCATCAGATCACACTAAGGTACGTGTACCACAAGTGCACACCACAGGTTTATACCTGTCCCCGTGTAACTCTCGAGTGCCCCTCCCTCGCTCCAAGGAGGAGTCCTTGATAGCACTATCAAGTGATCACGTGCACGAGGACAACTTCATCGTCAGATCTGCTGAACCTCTCTACCTTCCCCGTCCCATCACCTCGCACTCGTGCACCATGGAGCCCGCCACCATGGAGCCCGCCAAGCTGTACGACCTCCCCGACGACCTTCTCCTGGCTGCCGTGCTCCGCTTCCGTTCTCCTTACATGTACTTCTATATACCTGCGGCCCCACCGCCCTTCCTTGCGGCCCTCACCTGCACCCATCTCCACCACCTCTACCGCCGCACCCTCTACACCCTCCCTCTCATCCTACTGCTGGTCCCGCCCGATATTCGCAACCGAGACCACATCGTCTGCCTTTTCTTCCCCCTCACCCGCCGTGCGCGCCCGCACCCCTTACGTCCCGTCACCCTTTTCTCTACAACGTCACCCTTCACGGCCCGAAACTACGTAGGCTCACCTTCCAAGAACCCTCGCGCCACCCCTCTGCGAGCTACCTCGTCGAGTCTCTGATATTTGCCGCCGTCTTCGCGCACCTCCACACCAGCAAGCTTCCCCTCTAACTCCGCCTCAGCTCACTCAACGCCTTGAATGGAAGCGCGCCACGAAGGCGCGCGCTGTTCCAGGTAATGCGGGACCAAGATAGGGCTCAATCTGTGTGCCTGTGAGAGGCGCTTTACAATCCTACTCTAGCTACGGTACAGTAATTTACACGCATCCTCCCTAACCCCCTTCTCCTACAACCTCGACTTGCTGTTATGCGCTACGTAATCGAAAGCGATCGGCGCCAGCAGATGCGGCGGGTAACCAAACGACTCCACCAACGATAATACGTGAGGTCTCAGCGTCTCGCAAAACCGCCCCACATTAGCATGCATCATCTGTGCCTCGCCGACGGACACGGCCCCGCACCTCAAGAACACGACCTGCTCATCCACTGTTCTCGCCGTGTGGAGTGCTCCACAAAGCCTGAGCATGTCGGCCACCTCCGTCTCGCCGCCCCGCTGCAAGTCACCCAGCGTATGATGGAACAGTTCTACCATCAGTAGCTCCACGTGTGCCCGCCCAGCGTCCTCCACAAGCACGGCACAGTCATTAAATGCCTGGAGCGACGACACTCCCGTCGCTGTTCGCTTTTGTAGATCGGCTGCCAGCCTTGCGAACAGCGCCGCCTCGCGCCGCCGCATTACTGTCAGCGCGAACGCCGCGGACCGCGCGTCCATGCCGGATAGGTCGGCCTGTCTCAGGCCCTCTGCGTCCTTGAGGTATGCAAAGTGACCCTTGAAGTTGCCACCGCTGCGGACGCCCTTCATGAACTCACTAAACACCGTCTTGGTCACCGCTTGCAGCAGGACGTGGTTATCGCCCTCGTACGTCAGGGCCACGTCGTGCGAGGTCTTCATCGGGCCGATGCGGTTTTCCGATTTGTACCCCTGCCCGCCGCACGCTTCGCGTGTCTCCTGCAGCGTTTGTAGGGAGTGCCACGAGATGAGAGCCTTGAATCCGGAGCTCCACACGTGGAGTTCGCGCCCGAGCTCCCCTCGCTGCCATTTGGCTTTGAGGTGGTTGAGCACTAGCTGCATGACGAATGTGGTTGCTAGCGGGGGGATGAGCCTCGCCTGGTACGCGGGGTAGTCCATGAGCCGCGTCTCTTCCTGCCCCGGTGGCCCGAACGCTTTGCGCGAGAGGCCATACCGGATGGCGATGGACAGCGCCAGCTTGGCTTGGACGAGGGACCCCGCAGACACGCTGACGCGTCCACCGGAGAGCGACGCGAGAGAGGCACCGAAGCGCTCGTCAGCAGACTTGAAGTTTGAGGTGAACGTGCCGTCACGGGACACCTGCGAATGGCGGCGGAGGAGGTGGTCATGGGGAACGCGCACGTTGGAAAACCACATTCGACCGTTGTCCACGCCGTTGAGACCGTTCTTGGCGCCGCAGTCGCCAATGGTTACACCCGGGACGGTAGTGCCATCTTCGTTGCGAATGCGGACTAGGAAGGGGTGCACGCCATGGCAGACGCCTTTGACGTAGAGCTGTGCGAATAAGGCGGTCCAGCGTGCAGATTGGAAGGCGCCACCTATCCAGTACTTTTGAGCTTCTTCGCAGGGGGTGTTCACGATGAATGTTTGGGAGGGGATATCGTAGACGGCCTTCGTTTGGATGCCCTTGACGTTGGATCCATGCCCCAGTTCCGTCATGGCAAAGCAACCGAGCATCTGGCAGTTCTCGATCTTGGGCGTCCACTTTGCGCACTGCTCGTCGTCGCCCATTAAGCTCACGGTCCCGCCGAAAAGTCCGTAGTGAACCCCCATTTTAATCTCCATGCTGTGCTCCATGGCACCAACAGATTCAAGGGTGGCTTCATACCGCTGGCGTCCCTCTGCCGTAAAAGTCTGCAAGGTGTTGTGAAAAACGCCGGTCTTTGCGATGAGGCGCCACCTCTGTATGGTGCGTGCCCTCTGTTCGGCGAGGGATTCGTTATAGCGCGGGAAGAAGACGGGGTTCTTGAAGAGCTCATAGAAGCTGTCGCGGAGGGCAAAGTTGTTCATGTCCAGCAACTCGCGCATTTTTTTGATGTCAAAGACGGGGCGAGGGGCAACTACACCTGGGGGGAAAGGATTGACTCCGGCCCGCTGTTGAGCCTCGGCATCGGAGATCCACTGACGATTGAGAAGGGGGGAAGTTGAACTGCGGACGGAAGGGGCGTTGAACTCGGCCTCAAGACGTTGGAAAGTGGCATCGGAAATGTTCATTTTGAGTAGAGAAATGGTGATGTAAATATGAAGTCAAGTTGCGATCTCTTCTTGTCTTGATGCCTAAAGGGTAATGTCTGAGTTTGAGTCTGAGGATCGGTAGGGACTACA